CGGCGGCGTTTCTGGGTGGGATTTCCCCTCGGGCCGCAGGGACCCTGCCTCCGTTCCTCTCCGGTCTCACGCTGGCACTGCTGGATCAGCAACACGGCAGATGCGCCGTCTGCATCTGCCACGTTCTCCGCACAAACGCGCCTACACAGCAAGGACAGTAATGTCAGAACTGGAGGAAACCTGGTCAGTAGGGTTCACTTCAAAGCACCCTGATGCTGCCCAGGAAGGTGGCATAATTAAGCCCATCTTGGCTGCGCTCTAGAAAGCGAAGCAACCTCGGAACGGGTCCAGGCGGGAGGCTGCAGGACGCCCCGGCTGGCCAGCAGCCAGGATGACTTCAGGGAAGCCCCTGCCAGGATCCTGCTGCCCAGGGACCTAGGAGGTGCCCCAGAGCCCTCCTGAGAAATGCCGCCTACTTTGGAATCCCGTCCTGAGATGATCCAGGGGTTTCCATAGCGGGGTGCCCTTTACGGGCCAGCGGAACAGCGGCTTTCTGTGCTAGCGATAAATTGCACACGTGGGTGTTTCTTGAAATTATATATCAGTTACTGAACAAATTGAAAGTGAGTGAATGGATGCTTTGAGCTAGAAGAGAGTGCAGGCACTGACTGGGTTTTAAGATGGGTGGCTGTATAAATGTTTTAAAGAAATAAGTGTGCACGCCCATGCTGGACCCCGAGACCTTATCCCGCTTCACGTCCAACGTTTGGACACCTTGGGCAACTACGCTGGGTAAGGGAAGACTCTGTTGTATATACCCACTACCATGATGAGGGTCATTCCAGGTATAATGATGAAGAGCAGTGAGGGTGCTCTCTGAGCCCAGTCATTGTGGTTTGCGAAAGATGGCTTGTGGCCTAGCATATTCTCCCAACCCAGCACAAAGTGATTCACTCTTAAGTAAACTATGGGGTAGAGGGTTGTGGGGCACAACCAATCACTGGATTACAAAATACCAGCACATGGATCACCTGAGCATCATATATTGAATTTCAAGCCTACCATGGGTGCCATTTTGTGGGATCACCCCCAGCAGGCCTCCAACATTCCCAGTGCCCACCAACTCAGAAAAGTTGACTTCCCCTGTGCAAACCAAACCAATGGCCCAGGGTGCTGGTGAATCCAGCCTTGCCCTCCCCAAGGTGGGTATCGGTTGGGCTTGGCCATGTAACCTCACTGGCTGGCTAAGGAAAAACCACGGTTGCCATATTATTCTTACCCCACATTGCTCCTTAACCATGTTGATGGGTAATCATGCCTGTTGTCCAACCCAGACCAGCCACCATTTCTGTTCAGTACTAACTGAAAGGTGTTTAGTGCTAAGGAGGAGTGGAAACTGCTCCAGGTTCAGACTGCATGTCTAACCACTAGAAAGTCAAGGCACAGTCAAGGAGCCATCTAGGACAGGGGTCAGACGGCAGGCATGGGTTCATATGGAGCAACCGGGGTAGCTTAGCTGCGGAACCTGATTTGCACGTTGCCCTAAAGCCAAGGCTCGTGTAGCTGGCTTTCTGAATGCACCACTGTTTGGTGCAAAACGTACCACTGTTTGGTTTCATGTGATGCATGAACCCATTGTTCACTTTCAGCTGGGAAATGAAGCCCACGGTCTAGAAAACAGGGCCTCGAGAAGAGAGGCCAGTGGCCAAAACTGGGTTTTTTGGCTTGGAACACCAAAGTTCCTTTTTTGTTTTTAGTTCTAATCCTGTTCCTTAAAGGGATCAGAGTGGCATCCGACTGGCATAAGAAGAGCGATGCTGCTGGAGACCTGGGGCTAATCCTGCTGCCAGAATTAGTAGTAATGAGAGGCGTTTGACCTCAATACGTGTTTCTTTCTTGGTAGGAATAGTTCTGTGTGAGCTAAAATGGTTGGAAAGAAAAGACCGTTTCATCGTAATACCACAAAGTATATTTTTTTCTCTACTGCGTTCTGCTATACAATTCAAAGCACATTGAAATATTAACATTTTAGCCTCACGTCTTTCTGTGAGGTGGCTGAAGACTTATTTTGCAGAGCTGAAGCTAACTCCCTGGTGAGCAGACTGTGCCTTTCAACGTGGAAGAGCGGAGAACAGATTCTCGGAAGGCCAAGTATCGCGCTCCCTGTTGTTTCTCAGCTCTTTCTTCTCTACGATCCTCCCAAGAAAAATGATGCGGCTCTTCTCTCCTGCAGCTTTTCTAATCCGGGCGATGGGCTGGTGCAGCCTATTCCAGCAAGGCCAGTCTGGGATTTGCCTCTTCAACCCCAAGATTAACGCGGCAGTTTAGCCCCTCGCCAGATCCGGGGAATGTCCCCCTGGGTTGGAGAGGAAGTGGAGCCCTTCTCCTGGACAGCAGGCCTTATTTCTTGCGAAAGACCTGCTGTTTGGCATTTTTGACCCGCTGCTCCTCCTTCAGGTTCATCTGCCGGGCGTGCTTGCTGGAGATGAACTCCACTTGATCAGAAGGGAACCAGCCTCTCTCTGCATCTGAGAGCTTCACTCCTTCGATCCAGCCTGCAGAGAGAGAGAAGGCAAATCAATTGTCGTTTGGAGAACGTTCCACCATTTGCGCACTGCCCCTTATCCAGCCATCCTAAAAGTTAAGCATCTTAATGCACGCGTTCACCGCTTTATCTGGCTTTACCTCTGTTATGCACAGGAATGTTGTTTCTCCTTTGCGCAAGCACCCAGCAGAACCCCCAGTGATGTCACCCGCATCCATGAGGCAAATGATGCCATGACCCTTGGGACTCTGCCTGGAGCCAAGCCCGAGGCAGCCATCCCAGGGGTGAATTCCGTTCTGCTCCGGCCTCGCTGGCTCATCCTGCATGGGGGCTTCCTATTTCACCTGAACCCAGACCGTGGTTTGTTTCTGGGGTTAATCAGAAGTGGAAATCATGGTTTGTCCGCCCTTGGTAGAGCAGCTCCACCACAATCTAAGTGAGCCATGGGAAGCCAAATGCGGTGCATGTTCCAGGCTAGCAACCTCCTCCTGGCCTGTTTGCTGAGACTCCAAGGGGATGTGTAAAGGGGACCCAGCCCCCGTCAGCCAGGGATCGGCTTCTCCTGAACCGTCCTCGGCTCTCAGGGCGACTCCCCTTCTCCTCCTGCAGTCCAGCTCACCCCAAGCAGATTCCACCCGGAACGGGACAGTCCCAGAGGTCGTTCGCTCTGCAGGGCTTCTCCACGTAGAAAAGCAGCCAGGCAATCCCACGGAGAGACCCTCTGCTGCCGGCCCTCCCTCCCTCCCTCCCCACAAAGAGCACCACCTTCGGATGCTCAGCTGAGCTTCTGCCCATCAGGCTTGGCAGTCTGCTCGTCGTGGGGCGGCATTGCCCCCTCCTCTAGGGGCAGGAAAGGAAAGAATCCCCAGGACTACCACCTGCCCCCCCCCATTCTGCCATTGCTGCCTTGACTGGAGGGCAAACCGAGATGCCATGGCAGAGTCACAGCCTGCTGGCTTATTACAGTGGCAGGCGTGGCCGTGTGGGGTGACTCATGGTCCAGGCAACTCAACTGTTGCCTGAAGACCGGAGCAGACACTTGTGCAGGTTTGGGATCCATCTGGCTTCCCTCCCAGAGCCAACCCATGGCTTTGCCACTCGAGGGAGAAAAATGCAGGTCCTGCCCATGTTTTCCACTAGGCAGGTGAAGGAGAACTAAGAGTCCACAGGGAAGGGCTTGGCCCGTAACATCAAGAGTTTCTTGTGGTGGATAAACCATCTTTATCCTGGGCGCTCTTGCCTTTCTGTATCTTCCAGTTCTGCCACTGAAGGGACAAAGGCCACGTGGGCAGCCAGAAGCCCCCTCCTTTGCTCTGCCGCCACGCCACTTGGGTCAACTCACCATCACTGCTTTGCCGCAAGACCATGACGATGTCGGCTTTCTCCAGGGTCAGTTCGTCGTTCTCTCGCGCCTTGTAGGACTTCACACACTGAACCTGGGGGGCATCTGGAAATGGGGTGGGATGCAGGGATGGTCATCTCAGGGGAAGCAAGCTAATTCAGAATGCTTTTGGGTCAATACAAGTGCCTCGTCATGGGTTCTCCTTTTCTCCTTCTCATAATGAAGATGCTTAGAGCGAAAATGACTGAAGCAGCACGAAACATTTGTAAGAAATAAAATATTTAGCCCTATTTCATACCCTGTTCTGGGATTCAACAGCGACGGGCCACGGCCTTCTGGACTCTGTTTTCCAGTGCCTTAAAATCTAAAATTTTGTACCTGTGGGCTTTTGTTCTAATGAAAGTTTGTTTCCAGGGGCAGGGTTGTCCGCAGAGGGGGGCGTCAAAAGTCAAGATGGCAACCAGAACTGGACAACCAAACCACGCCTCTTTTTCCCTCGTGTTGCACTGCAGCATATAAAAGGGGCGGAGCTTTGGTTGTGCAGTGCCAGCTGCCATCTTGACTTTTTTGATGGCCCCCTGTGATATCCCTGTTCAGGGAATCTTTCTCCTCAACAATGGAGATCTAGCATCACCACTGCTGCGCTAAGAGTGGAGGGTGGGATCAAGCTCTGGTAACCTTCTCAAGGGCAAGGTCCCATGGGATGACCTTCTGGAATGGTGTGAGCTCCAAACTGCCAGTATATTTTAAAAGTGGCCAAAATATTCTACGAAACAAGCAATATCATCTCTGAAATCTCATGCTCTTTCCCATAAGAATGCTGAACTCTCTTGAAATTTGCACAAGGTTCACCTAGCATTCATGGGGTGGGGCGGGGGGGTGTCCCTGGATACCATCAGGAGAACTTCACCGACCAAGGAAGCTGAGGAAGAAACTGGAGGTTCTTCTAATGCCAGCACCTTTCAGGAGTGGCTCAGATCCTCCACTGATGGCCATGCTGGCTGGGACTGCTGGGAGTTGGAGTTCAGCAATATATGGGGTGACGTACGATCCTCCGTCACGTCTCAAGGCATACTTTCATGGGTTTTAAAGCTGCCTTTCAGAGCCATTAGTCACAAAAGGTGGATTCCAATACAGCAAAAGAGACTTAATCTGAACTCGGTGAGAACATCTTTTATCATCACTCAGCTAAAATCCATGGATGGAAGAGAGGAACCACGGTGAGTCCAGGTTCAACCCTTGAAGGCTGACTGGACCGGCTGACATGGAGGCATCTCTTCCTGAGGACCTGCTTTTGTATAACAGGATTCTATTTCTGGCTTTGAATAGAAGAGACGAGTAATCTGAAATTAGGCCCTTTTTAATATTTAAATAATGCAAGGTTGGTGGTCCAAGAAACAGCAGAAAAGGTCAGTCTCGATCCTCTCCCTTTCCCATGAGAACTGATCAGGCAGGAAGTAATGTGCCAGAATGGTGGAAGCTGAGGGTTACCTGCAGCCTGACCCAACAGGACTCTTCCGATGTTTTTTCAAAGCTTTAGCAGAAGTCCCTCTGAGGATTATCCCTACTGCCAATGCTGTAGCCAATGGTGGGAGCTGAATCTGGCCCAATAACTGGGCTCTTCCCCTTGGTGTGGACACAGAGGGCTTTGGGGAACCCCTGTGTCTTAGCCGACCCCCCCCCCTTTTCTGCATACGTGGAGCACAGGGAAAGTGGGGACCAATACTGAAGTGTTGCTTAGGCTGGTTTTGATTGAGTTCCGAGCGTTCTTACCAGAATCGTCCAACAGGTCAGGTTCTGGCTGTTGTGGCCTAAGAGCGGAAATCCACCGCAGTTTCTCGCTCCTAGGAAAAGCAAGGATTGAGGTCAGATAGCAAGACCGCACATGCTCTGTTCCTTCACTTGAAGCCCCCTAGGCTTTGGTTCACTACTGCACAAAAACATGGCTTGTTAAATCAGCCACAATGGGATGCGTTCACATGCCACGCTGCACTAGGAGCCATCTGTCAAGGGCTGCATTCAGACAACATGCTAAGGCAACCCCAAATCAACTACTTTCCAGCTGAGTATAATGTGCATACGTATGGGGGATACCAAGAAGCTCAGAGGTCCCTGCTGAGCATTTGGGGGCTGCTTCTTTTCATCCACAGACGCGGCTGCGCTGGGTCTCCTATCTCAGCTGATGACTCTTCTGCACTTGCGGTGCCTCAGCTGTTAAAAAACTTCCACAGGCTTCCAAAGAGATGATGACTGCAGACACCTGGTTTTTGTCTATGAGATTTCCCCAGGATCTCAAGGCAGCTTCTGTGGGAATCCCTGTTGAGTTTCTCTCACAGCAAAAACCAACTTGGGTGGGTTGGGCTGAGACCGAGGGACTGGCCCAAAGTCACCCAGTGAGACTTGGACCGAGGCTTTCTACGCCGGGTCCCACATCTTTATCATGCCTTCTCAGTAGGAGCCTGGTTTGCTTATTAACTGGCATTGTAGCCAGTATCCCAGTCTTTTTTGCAGTAGGGGGCTGGACAGCACTTCCTGTCGCTGGGTAGCAGATCATTCTGAACAGTGGAACGAAGGGGTGCAGAGAGGATGGCTGAGGAAGGAGTTCTGCCTTTGAAGGAAAGCATTCCTGAGGCTGGGGCTTGTATGAAGGAGTTATCTTAGGCGGAGCCCCTAACGCCCCACTTCCCTTATGGGGAGAGCCCAGGCAAGGAAATACCCAAACTGGACCGCTCAGGACAGGAGGGGAGGGGGGGTCAATAGGTTCAACCCACATGGAAAAATCTGTGCCTGGGGGGAACATTTTGCCACGCAATAAACACTGAATGGGGAACAGTCCTTCTGAATGCCACGCTGCAGCTCTAAAAGGGGGAGAGGGCTGATGCAACCAGGAGCACTCAAAACAGTCAAGACAGCAGCTGCAACCGCACAGTCAAAGCCCCATAGACGTGCTACGCTGCATGTAAATAGGGTGGGGCGTCCATTGTGTGGTTGCAGCTGCCATCTCCCCCTCTGCCCCCCCCCAAATTGCCCATGGATTGAATGCAAAGGAGGGTTCATGTCTAGAAGCAACTTTGGTGCGACGCTGTCAGCGTGTCCACGTGGACCAGCAGGAGAGGGGCTGCTCCCATTTAACCAGGAAGAAATGTCTGGCGTTGCTCCGAGTTGGTGGCTGCGCAAGCCGGCTGCTCTTGGGCACGCCTCTGAAACTGAGCTGGACCCGGGTCTTACTGTGTTTCTGTGCGGAAGAGGAACTCCACTTTCTTCCCCTGATTGTTCTTCAGCAGGAAGAGACGGAGGAGATTTTTGTTCGAGCCGTGGAGTTTCATTTCACACTTTTCTCCACGCACGTTCGAGGAGGCAGCATAATCAAAGACAATGAAGCGCCCGTTCCTGCCGGGGAGAGAAAAACGGGGGTCAGCATTCACTGCTCTGGGTCAGGATTGTTTAATTCTCATCATGCTTCTTGCGGGAGAATACAGGAAGGACTGCGCTGGTTTCATCTTGAACTCTGAAGCTGGTTTTGATGTATCGTTCAAAAGCTCCTTGGAAAATGGTAGATACGTGGATGAACCAGAGTCTCTTTTCTGAAGGGCCTAGGATTACCATGACCAACTGGGAATTAGAAACCCAATTTCCTCAAACCTTGCCCGGTATGGTTCCCCACTTCTGCGCTAAAATTATAACTGCAATCCTAAGAGGGCGGACTGGGGCAGAGCAGCTCCAGGCTCGGACAGGTCCGTGGGCGAGGCATCTTTGCTATCTCCTCCCTCCTGGGCTGGCACCACCCACCCCATTCACCTGCTTTCAGCCTGGGTCTCTCTTTCTAGGTCAAACGCGTAAGAAGAGGCAAGGTGAGCCAAAGACGCTTGCTTGCCCTCAGGAGGGCAGATGGAGAGAGCAGCCATGTTCTTCTCCCAAGAGATCACAGAGGGATCTCTCCAGCTCTCTATCATCTTGGGAAGAAGACGTGCTGGAGCTGCAGTGAGCCACAAGTCCTTTCTCCTGTCATTCTCTTTGATAGGCTCAAGACCACTGTGGATTCCCCCAAAACTTACTCCTTGGGTCGAGATAGGAGCAGGTAATCATTGAAGAGGTGGAGGTAGATGGGTCGGGTGGTAAGTTTCCACTTCAAGCTGATATTATACTCCAGAGCTGTAAGTTCCCCATGTTTCACTAGCCGTCGTGACTGTGAGATAAGTGGGAATATCTGCAAAGGCAAGTAGCCTCCTTTTAGTCATGCTTAAATCGTTGTCTCATAGTAACTCCAAGCTACGCTCCTCTTCCAGCATGTAGCAGGACATTCCTCGTCCAGTGTTACCCTGTACACACTCTAGGCGTAAATACATCCCCACCGTGCTGCTCTCTCCTGGAGCCAGCAACGTTGCATAAAGTACAGGAAAGAAGCGAGACGTGGCGACCGAAAGACGTTGAAAGCAGCAGAACTGAAAGGAAGTCTAGCCAAAACTAGTTTACTCCAACAGCAGCCACTATACGTGTCCATACCTTTCTCTCCTTGAAAGCTGCCCTTACATCCACCCCATTCACAGACATCACCTTTCCGTCTCACTTCTCTCCTTTTCAGGACCTCACCAAAATCATCCAGCCGAGACCTTCTCAGTCTTCCCTCTCATCTCAACTCACTCACTCTTCCTTCTCTATGGCCGAACCACCTCTGTGTACTTCTTTCATGCTGCTCCCTCATTTTTATATTCAATCCACACTGGCTCAGCCTCCGTTTGTTCTTGAAGGTATCTCTTCTGGTTTTACTACATGCTCACTCCCACTGAATCCCCGTAACTTTGAACTTTCTCCTGACATAGCCGGCCACATTTCCACATAACGAATTACGTGATCTTTTCTCTACCAAGGCCACATACTATATTCTACCTTCCTACCACCATTTCCATGCCTTGGAATGTCTCCATCCATTTCTCCATCATTAGCAAACATTGTAGCAGGAGGCACACATTCACCTACTTGGTCTAAGGCAGTGTTGTCCAAACTTGGCCGCTTTAAGATGAGTGGACTTCAACT